TGTTCTTCTTCATATAGTCCAGCTTCTTGGATTATTTGTTCAGCATACAGATAGAATAAATACAGTGAAAGGATACAGTCCTGATGCATACCTCTCCTAATTTTAAGCCATGCAGTACCCACTTGTTCTGTTCGAACGACTGCCTCCTGGTCTATGTACAGGTTCCACATGAGCACAATTAAGTGTTCTGGAATTCTCATTCTTCACAATGTTATCCATAATTTGTTATGATCCATAGAGTCCAGTGCCTTTGCATAGTCAGTCATGATCCATCTGCTATCAGCAATGATATCCTGCGTTCCATGTCCTCTTCTGAATCTGGCTTGAATTTCTGGCAGTTCCCCATTGATGTACTGCTGCAACTGTGTTTGAATGATCTCCAGCAAAATTTTGCTTATGTGTGATATTAATAATAATTTCTGCATTCTGTTTCACCTTTCTTTGGGATGGGCACAAATATGGATCTCTTCCAGTCAGTTGACCAGGAAGCTGTCTTCCAAATTTCTTGCCATAGAAGAGTGAGTGCTTCCAGCGTTGCATCTGTTTGTTGAAACATCTCAATTGGCATTCCGTCAATTCCCGGAGGCCTGTTTGTCACCAGTGTATAACTGTAGGGGATGGATATGCTTTTTCTGTTTTGTAGTTGGGGAAAACTGAGGATCATAGAGGTTGAGAGACTCGCCCAAGGTGACATGAGCATAAATGGTCAACTCAGGAATCAAACCACGGTTCCTCTACCACTGAGGCTCTATACCAATTTTGAAACTTCACCAAAGTGAAAATATTCTATAAACTATCAATCACCAAAGAGTGTGTTTACCATGAAGATAATGAAGCTTAAGCTTCAGAGACCTTCACTTTCTAGGGTTCTTTCCAAGACCCTTAAGGATCCCTAGTAGTTTTTTATTCATAATTTGTATTATTTTACTTGAAGAGGGCCCTTAAAATTACATAAACCTTAAATTAAAAAACAAACCTGATGTAGTAGAGTTCATTCCAGCTGAGAGCAACCCCATGTGTGTCAGAGTAAAACTGTGCTGCATAGGGTTTTCAATGGCTAATTTTTCAGAAGTAGATTGCCAGGCCTTTCTTCTGAGGCACCTCTGGGTAAACTCAAATCTCCAACCTTACATCCAACCTTTCAGTTAGCTCAGTGCATTAACCATTGTACCACCCAGGGACTCCACATGAGCCTTGTTGTTGTTGTTGTTGTGTGCTTTCAAGTTAATTCCGACTCACAGGGACCCTATAGGACAGAGTAGAACTGCCCTATAGGGTTTCCTAAGAAGTAATCTTTGCCAGAGCAGATCACCAAGTCTTCTCTCCTGTGGAGCAGATGGTAGGTTCAAACTGCCAATCTTTCGCTTAGCAGCTGAGTACTTAACCATTGTGCCACCTCAAAACCTGGATCTACCCCTAAAAGTGCCATGTTATTCTCAACTAGATCATCACATGACCCTTCCGTTCTTATCTTCCACCATCTCATGGAGAATCTGAGATGAGTAGAGCCTCTAAAGTTCTTGGATGCTATGATTTCAAGTTCTCTTCTCTTAAGTATTACTACCAAAACCCAAACCCTTTGCCATTGAGTCGATTCCGACTTACAGCAACCCTCTAGGACAGAGTAGAACTGTCCCACAGGGTTTCCAAGGCTGTAAGTCTTTACGGAAGCAGACTGCCACGTCTTTTTCCCGTAGAGTGGCTGGTGGGTTCAAACTGCTGACCTTTCTGTTAGCAACCGAGCGCTAAACCGCTATACAACCAGGGCCCCTCTGGGGTATTGTTAGTCATCCAAATTCCTAGTGTTTTCCTTCTCTGAAATCTGTTTTTCTTTTTAGACAGTAAGTTGTGTTGGGGGCTGACAGCTTCTAGCCACTCAGCAAAAAAAAAAATTAATTTTCTTTCTGGCACCTCGCATATGACATCACAAATGGTGTGTTTGTAACCCCTTGTGAAAATGGTCAGTCTTTTAACTATAGTAAATACAGTCAAGGAAAGGGCCCAGATTTTAAACAAACAGCCATGAATTCTGTATTTGCGTGTCATGCTCCAAGCACATCTTTTTCTGAGTCACTGATTATTTATTTACATCAAGCCACAAAGAGCATCTTGGTTTTTTTTCATTTGGGGTCTTTGGGAAGGGCAGAAAAATTATAGTCAAATATCCTAAGAGATTCTGTACTTTTCAAAGTAAAACGTCTTGGTAAACATTAACAGTTCTTGAGTGACTACACATTTAGGACAAGAATGTATTCATGTTAAGTGAATTATATTTCCAGAAGATAATGTAGAATGTGCAACTATTGGATGTTTCAATGAACCCTTTAAAACACTGTGTTTGTATAAAACTTGATTTGGAAAATAATTTGAACCACATGATTATTGGGACAAGTCTTATAAAATAAGTATTTCTTACTCTCCACAATGAGTGTTTGTGTATGTGTGTGTAAGAGAATAGCAGTTTAAACAAGAGCAATGTCATTAATAAGTTGTGTGACCTGAGGTAGTGGTGATAATGATGATGTTGGTGATGAAAGTTAGTATTTATTGATTGCTAACTATGTCAGATAGTCAGATACTGTGCTAAGCACTTTATATCCATTATTTCATTTAATCCTCACCACCCTTTGTCCCTATTTTTCGGATGAAGACACTGAGGCCCAGAGAGGTTGATTGACTTGTCAAGGTCACGCAGTAAGTTGTGGACTTGGACTTGAACAAGGTCTGTCTGGTAGCAGAGCCCAAGCTCTCAATCACTGTGCATGTTATTTCGCCTCTTTGGGGCTCAGTTTTCTCATCTGCAATACGAGAGGCTTGGCCTTTGCTGATCTCTGCTATTTCTTTCTGCTCTAAATCTGTAGGATGCTATGGTTTAAAGTTGTAATCCTCTGGCAGCAGAAGAGCTCTTGTTTTCTTGTTTTACTAATATGTTTGTTTTTCAAATTGATCTCTACTAGCTCAGAGTAATTAAAACCCCACAGTTCTTACATTTCCCAAATAAACAGAGGCATGTACGCTCACGGCCCCTCACAGCAATGCACATGGCTTTGCCACGCATGGCACCTAAGATCAAAGCCAAATATATGGTGGAAAGTAGCAAGCTCTGTGCGAACCAAGGAATAAATGTGTGTACACCCAGCCTAATGTACTGTAAGGTTCTTCTTATTTATTTACTTATTTACTGGCAGCGCTAAGTGTTTGACCTGCTCCAAGGCTCCCATAAACAATCTCTGATGTTCTGTGGGTAAATAGTACTTTATATTCATGGTAAATATGCAGTGGAAGGAATTGTAGGTTTAGAGAAGGCAGACTATCATTCAGCAGCTTGCAATCCAGGCAACCATTTATTATGGCCATGATAACAGAATTAACAATATGAAAAATGCTCCACCTTTCTGGATTAGTATACTATTGCGGTAGAATTCTTCATGCGCAGCCTTAGTTACCATGGGAATCAGGAAGTAGAATGTTCTAAGTTCTTGGCATCTCTGGGTGGTGAGTGTTTACTTACCTTTTGTATAAGAATATCATGCCTGAATGAAGGCAGAAACAGAACAAGATTTCCAAAGCGGAGCCTGGTTAAAGCATCTCACTAGGTAGCAAGGGTTCTTTAAATACTGCTGATTGGGACAAGGAATAGGACCCTTTGTTCATTTCATAAAGTTACCGAATACTTCTTTTCCTGGCCTTGGGCTGGGTGCTATTGGCACTATGAAGATGAAGCAGATGAGGCCTTGCCCTCAGGACAAAATGTGTATAAAAAACTATGTGTATGGTTACTATGTGGGTACCCTTCTTTTTCTGGTTTGTATTATTAAATACTATGGGGATAGGACAGTCCCTGGGTAGTACAAATGGTTAATGTGCTTGACTGGTAACCAAAAGTTTGGCAGTTCATATCCAGCCAGAGACATCTCAGAAGAAAGACGTGGTGATCTACTTCTAGAAAGTCATCCATTGACACCCGATGGAGCACAGTTCTACTCTGACACACATGGTATCACCATGAGTAGGAATCGACTTGATGGCAACTGGTTTTTGTTGTTATTGTTGTTATGGAAATAGATGTCAAGGAAGCTTTATGGAGAAGATGGCATTGGAATTAGGCCTTAAAGGAGAAGAAACTGCACATATGTAAATTGGGAGGAGGGTGGAAGGGATGAAAGGTGGGAAAAATGGTTAGATGAGGCAAGACAAGGAGATGTGGGAGGAGGCTGGGCCTGGGACAGGCCTATCTGTGTTTTTTTATGGTAGCATCAATATAGTTTTCATTGTTTGTGTTATTATTTGCTCATTGATTATCTCTCCTGGTGGATCGTAAGCTACTTGAGAGCAAGGACTGGGGATGAAATCTGTCTTATTCATTGTCATATCCCAAGTGCCTGTGACCATGTCTGGTACATAGAAGGGGCTCAGCAGATGTGTATCATGTAAAGGGAGAAAGGAGCATTTGGAATGGGACTGGCTGAGGTGTGGGGCACATGCAAACCCTGGGATCAAAGACACATAGTAGTTCAGATATCCAGACAGTTAGGCAGGACTTTTTTAAAAGTCTAAGCTTAGAATGGTCGTAATGCTGGGTAGGAAGACAGCAATAAAGAAAAAAAAAAAAAAAAATGAAATCATTAAGACTAGGCAACAGGGATCAGAATGGAGGGCAGTTTAATTCAATTCAGCAAACATGTACCAACTACCAGCCAGGCATTATGAAGAGGCAAGGGTAAGAGAGTGCATAAGAGAGGTCAAGATCAACTTCAGTGGGGTTTCAAAGGAGGGAAGATTGTATCCTTTGAGTAAATAATAGTTTCACAGAAGAGGGAGTATTTCAAGTAGAATTTGAGTGATGGGTAGGATTTTTCTAGAAGGTAGGTGGAAGGGAGATGGGCATTCTAATTAAAAAAAAAGAAGTGAGTAGAGAAATAGCATTTATGAAGAACTTAATCCTTTGCCAGATACTTTGGAATGTACTTTACTTAAATTATCTCATGTATTCTTTGCAGATCCAATAGAACATGATTATAGATGAGGAAATTGACCTGCCCAGTGGAGGTGTGACTTGAATCCAGGTCGGTCTGACTCTAGTTTGGTAAGAATGATGATAATAATAGGTGACATTTATTGAGCTACCTTCTTCCTTATCCATTTGGGAAACCCCATCCTATATGAGCCAACTCAAGCACCACCTCCCTGATAATCTTCCCTGTAAATTTCTGCATTAAAAAAAAAAAACAACAACAACAAAAACCAAACTCATTGCCATTGAGTCGATTCCAACACATAGCAACCCTATAGGACAGAGTAGAACTGCCCCATAGGGTTTCCAAGGAGTGCCTGGTGGTTTCAGACTGCCACCCTTCTGGTTAGCAGCTGAAGTCTTAACCACTAGGCCACCAGGGTTTCCAAATCTCTGCATTAAGTGCCCTAATTAGTTGTCTTGCTATATTGCAATTATCCAAGGACACCTGTTTGGAACACACTAGACCATGAACTTGATGAGGAGAGGAACTGGGTGTATCTGCCACCTTCTGCACCAGAATGGACTCTGGATGGCACTTTTTTATGTATGTAACCAAGTTTTGAATTCAAAGTCTCCTGTGAGATCGTTAGAGTCTGGATTAAATGGCTGTTCCCTAGCTGCAAGGGAGGCCAGTAAGGTGAATTTCTGGCATCAGTTTTGTAGTGAGATGGACTAATACTTTGGGGAATCTCCCAGTATAGGTATGGTGCTCAGAAGAGCTGAATGTCCAAAAAGAAATAAAGAAGGCCGCTAGAGAAGGCAAACTTGTTAAATAATTCCCCGAATCACTCCTAAGTAAAACATAGACCCCAGTTTGGGTGTGGATTATGGATAAAGGAAGAATAGGAGAAATGACAAAGGAATTACATTCATTGCAGAGATTCAGATGAGCCACACTAAGTGGAGGCAGTAGGTTGCAATGTTTACCGCCTCAAGTTCAGTACGTGCAGCACTGTTTGGACATAGTATGATTTTATGATTTAAAAAAATACATTAATACTTATATATTTACTTTAATGCATATCATAAAAAATAATTATCACATCAAACCTATGAGTTTACAACTGTTATTACTTGAGAAAAGGTTAACTTTAGTTCCATTTTAAAAGAGTAATTTAACATTAAAAGAATTAAGTAAATAATATAGGAGATGACACCTGGATATGTCACGATTTGTGTAAGTAGCACAGGGATGGCTGCAATTTGTAAGCAGGAGACCACAGCTCCACTCACCACCAGTGTGTCTTTACCTCCAACCAAAACCAAACCCATTGCCATTGAGTCAATTCCGACTTACAGCAACCCTATATGACAGCTTAGAACTGCCCCATAGGGTTTCCAAGGCTTTAGTCTTTACGGAAGCAGACTACCACATCTTTCTCCTGAAGAGTGGCTGATGAGTTCAAACCACAGACCTTTTGTTTAGCAGGCAAGTGTCTAACCACTGTACCACCAGGGCTCCTTTGTGTTTACCTCACTAGGCCTCAATTTCATACTTAAGTGGGGAGAGACAATCTCAGCTTCCCAAAGGTAGGGTCAGGACTAGATGTCTTGTCATGTCTAGGTGACACTTCATTTAGTTGCCATACTTGCCAAGACTGCTTGTCAATTTTGGGGAACTCCTGCTGTTCATCTCATCATTCACCCATGCCTAGGAAAGGTCAGGCCCCCAAGTTATCAGTCTTTGAATGTACGTCTGCATTTGAGTGGCCTTTGGGGAAGGAGTTGTCATGAGTGGGTGTGTTTCTGCATTTGATAAATGATTTAAGCTCAAGTTTTGATTTGGTCTAGATATGGGTCTGCTTGCTGGCTCAATTTGGCCTCCTCCAGCTTCCCCATCCATAAATCCTTCTTTTGAGTTGCTGGCCACTCTCTGCACATTGTGAACTGGTTGAGATCCTTGGTGGATATAGAAAAAAATCCCCTGAGAGTGGACATTGTTCTACTTTTCTAAGTTCAGCTCTTAGGAAATTATATTAACTTTTTTTATACCCCTCAAGAATCATTTAATTACTTCTTGGGGACATTTATGGTTCAGAAAAATCTGCTACTTCAGGAAATAAAGGAAGAACAAAATGGAGACGGGAAGAACAATGTAGGTTGGGCACTGCAGAACAGTTTGCATTGGTGAAAATGTTGGAGTAGGTTGAGAATGGGGAGAATCTGGCTGAAAATGAAGTCCTAGCAGCAAGAACAACCTGGATTCACTGCTCTGAGTGCTTGTGAAATGGTAGCTAGAAAGTTATCTCATACTTGGATCTGTGCATAAGAGAGAAGCATGGATATACCTAAACATACGTCTATTAGGGGCTATTCTTAAATAAAGCTTGGATTGCATTATCAGGGGCTCTTAATCCTGTTACTTAAGCTGTGTCAACTCCCAGACTAAAGAAATTGGTGTTAAAGATTGTATCCTCAGTAAGCAAGCCCTGAATCATTCCTTTCCCCTCATGGTTATGTGAATAAGCATGGGATAAATCCTTGGATGAGCTACCCACCTAATTTTGTCTTTTAGCATGGTTGAAAGGAACCCCAGTGGTGCAGTGGTTGAGTGCTTAGATCAGCAGGTAGTTAGAATGCACCAGCTGCTCTGCAGGAGAAAGATGTGGCAGTCTGCTTCCATAAGGATTTACAGCCTTGGAAACCGTATGAGGCAGTTCTGCTCTGTCCTACAGGGTTGCTATGAATCAGAATAGGGTTTGGTTTGGGGTTAGCATGGTTGATGGTATTATTGTGCAGCCACCAAATATTCTGGCTTCCTTGTGGTATCTTTTCTGCAGGAGCATTATACCTTCCTACCTATTTAAGTTCACGAGTGGCCCTCTGATTTGCTTTAGTCAGTTACATTTGAGCAGTAGTGAAGCATAACTCCTGGACAAAAGTTTTAAGAGCCAACATGTCTCTTTTCTCTTTGTCAGCAGTGTTCCAGCTTTGGTCCTAGAGCAAAGACTGCTTGACAAAGCCACAGCTGATGCACAATGGATATGCAGTGAGTTCAAGAAATAAACCTTTGAGGGGTGGGGCCAAGATGGCAGAGTAGTCAGATGCTTCTGGTGGACACTCTTACAACAAAGATCTGAAAAAACAAGTGAATTGATTATATATGGCAATCTGGAAGCCCTGAACATCAAAGGCAAAGTTGAGGAACCAGACTGAGTGGCAGGGGGAGAGAGAGATGGTTTGGAAGCAGTGAGGAGTTGCCAGACCTGACCCGGCGAGAGCCTGAGTCCTTCAGGCCTGAGCAACTCAGGGGTGAGCTGTGAGGCAGGCAAAGGGTGGTGCTCAGGAGGCACGTTTCGACACCAAGAGAGACCCAGCACCAGAGAGTCTACACGGCTACCCAGAACCAGTGAGAAGCAGCCCTGGACTGGCAAAAGATAAGCAATTGCATACAGCCTACCCCCGATCAAAAACAACCCCCTTAAGGAAAAACCTCTCTCCCATTTACCTACCTGCTCCCTACTCAGCACTGGGTACTGGACCAGCTTCAGCAATTGCTGAGTCCCCTGGGCTGGAAGTAGGATCCGTCACATGCCCAGAGCCATTCTCCCTGCCTTGGAGAGTGAACAAATTAACAGAGGAAAAAATAAACTGCCGGCTCCCCTAAGCCAGGAACCCAAGGTTGGCATAGTTCCTTTGCCTAGGCACAGGCATAAGGAATCCACAGACTCTGAGTGCCTTTCCCCCTGCATAGACTTGTGTGGGCCCATCTCAGCAGCATAGGCCCTCATTACCGCAGCACAATAGGGTATATACTGGAACTCTAACTTCAACTGTTTCAGCTATGAATTGGCAGGTTCTTGACATTTGATACTGCTCTGCCCATTAAGCAGAGTCTTCACCTACCCATATCAGGGGCCTGAGGACTGGTGGCTCCACTCATGCCACCTAGCCACCTGCGATAGGGGCCCATGAATAAGAGGTGCTTCCCAGTCCTTACAGCCAACAACATGAGGCACTCACAGTCCAGCTGCAAAACCCACCCACCTATGCACGCTAAGGCACAGGGACACACCTTCCTCCTGGACACTCAGGGGTGGCCATCAGTCCCCTGTCTTCCTCAGAGTGTGTCCCCCTGCTGCAGCCAGATGCTTGTGCCTGCACCCATCACCCATGCCTGTCTGGGACTGTAAGTGAGAGCCTACACCACACACTTGGAGGCTGTCTACCTGGGCACCTGAGATGAATTCATACAGGAGGAGTGGGCAGACTCCTGAGCTCACATACATCATAACAGATCTAACCATTAGAGCTTCAAAGTTGCCAATAATCAAACTAGCTCATATGAGCAGCCATTTTGGGCATATCAAAACAAAACAAGAAGCTAGGACACAGTAAGCAAACATAAAATAAATAAATATAATAACTTATTGATGGCTTGGAGACAACAGTCACTATCAAATCACACAAAGAAGCAATCCATGGTGGCTTCAGCAAGCTCCCAAAGTAAAGAATCTAGAAATTTTCGAGAGGAGGAAAATTTCTTGGAATTACCAGAGGCAGAACACAAAGGATTAATATACAGAACTCTTTAAGAAATTAGGAAGGAAATTAAGCAAAACTCAGAACATGCAATAGAGGAAATTAAAAAGATTAGAGAAGAGCATAATGACAAATTCAACAGGCTGCAAGAATCCATAGAGAGACAGCAATCAGAGATCCAGAAGATTAACAATAAAATTTCAGAATTAGACAATAGAAAGTCATAGGAGCAGAATTGAGGCAATGGAAATCAGAATTAGTGAAACTGAAGATAAAGCACTTGACACTAACTTATTTGAGGAAAAATCAGACAAAAGGATTAAAAAAATTGAAGAAATCCTAAGAATTCTGTGGGACTCTATCAAGAGGAATAACCTACGAGTGATTGGAGTACCAGAACAGGGGGGGATAACAGAAAATACAGACAGAATTGTTGAAGATTTGTTGGCAGAAACCTTCCCTGATACCATGAAAGATGACAAGATATCTATCCAAGATGCTCATTGAACCCCACATAAGGTAGATCCCGAAAGAAAGTCACCAAGACATATTATAATCAAACTTGCCAAAACCAAAGATAAAGAGAGAATTCTAAGAGTGGCTAGGGATAAACGAAGTCATCTACAAAGAAGAGTCAATAAGAATAAGCTCAGACTACTCAGCAGAAACCGTGCAGGCAAGAAGACGATGGGATGACATTTATAAAGCCTTGAAGGAAAAAAGCTGCCAGCCAAGAATTATATATCCAGGAAAACTGTCTCTCAAATACGATGGTGAAATTAGGGCATTTCCAGATAAACAGAAGTTTAGGGAATTTGCAAAAACCAAACCAAAATTACAAAAAGTATTAAAGGGAGTCTTCTGGTTAGAAAATCAGTAACATCAGTAACAATCCAAGACTAGAACACAGGACAGAGCAACCAGATATCAACCTAGATAGGGAAATCACAAAAGTAAATCAAAGCTGAAACACTGAAAATAAGGAAACAGATGTCAAGCTGTAGAAGATAACAACATTAAAACAAAAAAGAGGGACTTAAAAAATATAGACATAGATTTTTCATATGGAGAGGAAGTCAAGGCGATATAAAGAAATGAAAGACTGGTATAAACTTAGAAAACTAGGCATAAATATTCAGGTAACCACAAAGGAAACTAACAATCCTACAAGTCAAAATAAAAAAAACTAGAAAAATATAAAGACTCAGCAAATACAAAATCAACAACAATGAAAAAGATGAAAAGAAAATACATAAAGAGAAATGACTCAACACAGAAAATTAAGTGAAACAAAGAAACTGTCAACACACACACACACAAAAAATCAAAATGACAACACTAAACTCATACCTATCAATAATTACACTGAATGTAAATGGACTAAATGCACCAATAGAGACAGAGAGGGGTAGATTGGATAAAAAAACACAATCTGTTCTATATGCTGCATATAAGAGACACACCTTAGACTTAAAGACGCAAACAAACTAAAACTCAAAGGATGGAAAAAATATATCAAGCACACAACACTCAGAAAAGAGCAGGAGTGGCAATATTAATCTCTGACAAAATAGACTTTAAAGTAAAATCCACCACGAAGCATAAGGAAGTACACTATATAATTATTAAAGAGTCAATACACCAGGAGGACATAACTATAATAAATATTTACGCACCCAATGACAGGGCTCCAAAATGAATAAAACAGACTCTACCGGCACTGAAAAGAGAGATGGACAGCTTCACAATAGTAGTAGGAGACTTCAACACACCACTTTCGGTGAATGACAGAACATCCAGAAAGAAGCTCAATGAAGACACGGAAGAGCTAAATGCTACAATCAACCAACTTGATCTCATAGACATATACGAAACACTCCACCCAACAGCAGCCAAGTATACTTTCTTTACCAATGCACATGGAACATTCTCCAGAATAGAACACATATTAGGCCATAAAGCAAGCCTTAACAAAATCCAAAGCATCGAAATATTACAAAGCATTTTTTTCTGACCATAAAGCCATAAAAGTAGAAATGAACAACAGAAAGAGCAAGGAAAAAAAATCAAACACATGGAAACTGAACAACATCTTGCTCAAAAACTACTGGGTTATAGAAGAAATTAAG